TATGTGCCACATCTTCTTTATCCATTCACCTGTTGATGGACACTTACGTTGCTTCCATGTCCTGGCTATTGTAAATAGAGCTGCAATGAACACCGTGGTACATGACGCTTTTTGAATTATGGTTTTCTCAGGGTCTATGCCCAGTAGTGGGATTGCTGGGTCGTATGTGTAAGGAACGGCACCAAGAAATGGAGGAGAGCTTAAACAAGCTTTATTTGGGAACGCTCCCAGGCGAGGTTCACTGGTCCAAGAGAAAGGGGCCAGAGAAGTCGCGTGCGGGCGAGGGTTTGGGCAGAATTTATAGGGGAAGAAGGGAAAGGGGCGTGGTGAATCCGGGAGGGCGCAGGGTATTCCTTATTTGGTGGTCTTTTCGGGCATCGTGGAAATATCTGGTGCCGGTCGCATCAGTCTTGGGACCGTTAGTCCCGCCCCTCGAAAGGCGGGAAGGCTGGGACGGGTGGAAAGTCCCCAGGTCAGTTCCTGGAATTGGGTGGTCCGGAAAGTTTCGGTTTGATGCAACCTGTGAATCTGATTGCGTTCCCCTGCCTCGGGCCAGTTGGCCTTACAGTATGGTAGTTCTATTTTTAGTTTTTTAAGGAACCTCCATACTGTTCTCCATAGTGGCTGTATCAGTTTACATTCCCACCAACAGTGCAAGAGGGTTCCCTTTTCTGCACACCCTCTCCAGCATTTATTGTTTGTAGATTTTTTTTTTTTTGGCGGTATGTGGGCCTCTCACTGTTGTGGCCTCTCCCGTTGCACGACCAGGGCACGAACCCGTGTCCCCTGCATCGGCAGGTGGACTCTCAACCACTGCACCACCAGGGAAGCCCTGTTTGTAGATTTTTTGATGATGGCCATTCTGACAGGTGTGAGGTGATACCTCATTGTAGTTTTGATTTGCATTTCTCTAATGATCAGTGATGTTGAGCATCCTTCCATGTGTTTGTTGGCAATGTGTATATCTTCTTTGGAGAAATGTCTATTTAGGTTTTCTGCCCATTTTTGGATTGGGTTGTTTGTTTTTTTGATATTGAGCCGCATAAGTTCCTTGCATATTTTGGAGATTAATCCTTTGTTGGTTGCTTCTGTTGCAAATATTTTCTCCCATTCTGAGGGTTGTTTTTTCATCTTGTTTATGGTTTCCTTTTCTGTGCAAAAGCTTTTAAGTTTCATTAGGTCCCATTTGTTTATTTTTGTTTTAATTTCCATTTCTCTAGGAGGTGGGTCAAAAAGGATCTTGCTGTGATTTATGTCATAGAGTGTTCTGCCTAAGTTTTCCTCTAAGAGTTTTATAGTGTCTGGCCTTACATTTAGGTCTTTAATCCATTTTGAGTTTATTTTTGTGTATGGTGTTAGGGAGTGTTCTAATTTCATTCTTTTACATGTAGCTGTCCAGTTTTCCCAGCACCACTTATTGAAGAGGCTGTCTTTTCTCCATTGTATATTCTTGCCTCCTTTATCAAAGATAAGGTGACCACATGTGCGTGAGTTTATCTCTGGGCTTTCTATCATGTTCTACTGATCTGTATTTCTCTTTTTGTACCATACTGTCTTGATTGCTGTAGCTTTGTAGTATAGTCTGAAGTCCAGGAACCTCATTCCTCCAGCTCCATTTTTTCTTTCCCAAGACTGCTTTGGCTACTTGGGGTCTCTTGTGTTTCCATACAAATTGTGAAATTTTTTGTTCTAGTTCTGTGAAAAATGTCTTTGGTAGCTTGATAGGGATTGCACTGACTCTGTAGATTGCTTTGGGTAGTATAGTCATTTTCACAATATTCATTCTTCCAATCCAAGAACATGGTATATCTCTCCATCTGTTTGTATCATCTTTAATTTCTTTCATCAGTGTCATAGTTTTCTGCATAGAGGTCTTTTGTCTCCTTAGGTAGGTTTATTCCTAGGTATTTTATTCTTTTTGTTGCAATGGTAAATGAAAGTGTTTTGCCTTAAATTTAAACAGTGATGTATGTCAATTATTTGTCAATAAAACTGGGAAAAAAGGAGGGGAGGTCTGGGATTGATATACAGGCGATAGTGAGGACAATGAAGCAAATAAAATCACCTGTTTTCCTATTAATGTATATAAACTTCTGCTTGAACAGAATGTAGAATTGATGTGGTCCTTGCAGACCAAACATTATCAGTGTATTAATAACAACAGTGATAATATGTTATAGACATTAACATTTACATCAACAAGTTCTTTTCCAGAATATCCTGGAACTCTAAAACTACAAATTAGAATCAACTTACAGCTAAGAGCAATTTTCATTAACTATATGCATTAGTTATTGGTCACTTTTTGATGTTCCCCCATTTATTTCACAAATCTTGCATTTCAAAAGTAAGATCAAAATCCAACTTTTTATTTACATTATTTAATACCATGTCATGCTCGTTTCTAACTGTATTTTGAAATAATTTGAACAATTGCAAAAATAGTACACCAAGTTCCTGTTATCCTTTACCCAACTTCCCATATTATAGCATCTTACATAATAATCACAATGATCAAGCAATGTATTAACATTGCTACAGCACTAATAACTACTCTATAGACCTTATTCAAATTTCAGCAATTTTCCCACTAATGTCCATTTTCTGGTCCAGGAATCAATCCAGGATCCCATATTGCTCCTTTATCCTTTCAACATGGCTCCATCCTTTTTTGAGCACTTCCTTACTACCTGTCATGTTCTTTTGAGTTTTTTAGTTTTTAAAAATTTTTTATTAGAGTAAGTTGCTTTACGATATTGTGTTAGTTTATACTGTACAGCAAAGTGAATCAGCTATATGTATACATATATCCCCTCTTTTTTGGATTTCCTTCTCATTTAGGTCACCACAGAGCATTGAGTAGAGTTCCCTATGCTATACAGTAGGTTCTCATTAGTTATCTATTTCATAAATAGTATCAATAGTGTATATATGTCAATCCCAATCTCCCAATTCATCCCCCCATCCCCCTTCCCCCTTGGTATCCATATGTTTGTTCTGTACATCTGCGTCTCTATTTCTACTTTGTAAATAAGATTGTCTATACCAATTTTTTCAGATTCCACATATATGTGTTAATATACAATATCTGTTTCCTTTTTCTGACTTACTTCACTCTGTATGACAGTCTCTAGGTCCAACCATGTCTCTACAAATGACCCAATTTTGTCCCTTTTTATGGCTGAGTAATATTCCTTTGCGTATATGTACCACATCTTCTTTATCCATTCCTCTGTTGATGGACATTTAGGTTGCTTCCATGTCCTGGCTATTGTACATGTTCTTTTTAAAAGAATGATTCACTAGTTTTTATAAAGTTGATATATATACATTACAATAAATTCAATACAGAAAACAACAAAACACAATGTAAAAATTATACAAAAATTTACCATGAAAGAACATCACGTGAAAGAATAACTATTAACGTTTGGTAAATATTGTTCCTGATATCTCTTTAGGCACATCTACAGTTAAAAGTATAGATAGATAAATTGATAGAATTTTGATGGAATGAAATTATTTTTAATAAAAGTATTAATAAAAAATATTAAAGCAGTTTTTAATAAAAAGCACTAAATGTAATTCCACTTGAATTTAACAGAAGAAAAAGAAACTAACATATAATTAAATGTGCTGAATTTTAGATAAACATTTCTTTATAAAAGACATGTCCTAAATTATCTCTCTAAAGGCAAAGACATGTCCTAAATTGTCTGTCATCTAAATGAAAGACATTTAGGTATTTATCAGTTACTTTAGTGCCTAATAAACCACTCTAAAGCTTTGTGGCTGAAAACAAACACCATTTATTATAGTTCACAGGTCTACAGGTCTGTGGAGGTGGTTCTGCTGATCCTGGGTGAATTACCTAAGCATCTGTGGTCAGGACATGGGTCAGCTGGAGCCTGACTGGCCTACAGTCACCTCACTCACATGTGTAGCAGTTGGTTATCTCCTGGCAGGAGCAATGGAGGTGACCTTGTTGTGTGATCTCTCAGCTTCCAGCAGGGTAGCTCCGGTTTGTCCACATATCAGTAGCAGAGTTGAAAGAAAGAGACTGGAAGTCTGTGAGGCCTCTGGAAGCTTAGGGTCAGAGCTGTCACAAGATGCTATTGGCCAAAGCAAGCCACAAGACCAGGCCAGATTAAGGGCTAGTTATCCATATTATTCCTAGGTACTGGTGTTGATCATTCAAAGATCAAGTTTTCATTATAATATTATTCACTCAATCTGCAGATTTAAGCATTTATTTGGGGATTGTTTTCCTATTACGTTTTTTAACATATTTTCTGTTTCATTTATTCATTTCTTTTTTTTCAAACATCAATTACGTATTTGCTGGATATTCTTTAATTGTCACTCATGTCTACCTTCCTTATAATCTTTTTTTACTATTATTATGTCTGCCTAGAATGTCTTCCCAGATATTCATTTTTGGATTTTTTAATTGAAGTATAGTTGAGTAACAATATTGTGTTAGTTTCAGATGTACAGTGCAGTGATTCAGTTATTTCTGGATCATTCATGTTATCCAGGTTTCAGATAAAATGTCACACGATCAGAGGGACCTTTCTTGATCACCCAATCTAAAAAAGGCCTAACATTTTCATTCTCTATATATAATCATATTTTATTTTTTTATAAGACTACGTAAGTTTAGTCTGTGTATTTTATTCTCTCTACCCCCATCCTAGACTGTAAGCTCCATGAGGGCAGAGACTCTGTCAACCTTAAACATTGCTAAACACAGCATTTACAGCACTCCTGGCATGTATGGGGTATTCAGTAATTATATGTTGAACAAATGAGTGAAAGTTCTAGTTTAGGTTAGGTCTACTCTAAATTTTGTTGTGTATAGTATAGCTTTCGTCTCTGTAATATTTTTCATTTACCTGTGTTGCCTATAATTTCTTTCCAAGTACAGAGAATTCTTCGTCTGAACTCTTCCTCTGTTTATTTGGAAATTATCTCTAGTTGTTTATATTTCTTTGTCTTACCTTCCTTTCTTCTTTATTTTCCCTCTCATTTCAAAGTGGATCTGTGGGGGTGGCTCCTTCTGATCACTATTCATCTCATACGCCAACTGAAAGATGGTCTGTGGAGGAAGGGAAGTAGTGGAAGATGTTAGTTAGTAAGCTCAGAGAGTACTGTCTCCTAGAGCCTCTCACCAAATCGACAATTTTTCTTAACCTGTGACTATGTATCATCACTCAATCTTTGGCATTTAAGAAACTGGTAATTTGGAAAGCGTTGTTTCCTCCACTCTCTCCATCTGACCTCACCTTTGCTCATCTCTACAGCTAGGAGAGTAGACAACAGATAAAAATTGTGTATTGGCCTGGTTCCCCCTTGATTTCTACCTGCCATGTTCTGTGGTGTCAAATTGGGTCTCTATGGGGACAGTTCTCTTTGGCTGTGGCTCTCTGTGCCCCTGAATCTTATATCACTTAAAGAATCCTTGGTTGGGCATTTCAGGGTAGCCTCAGTTGCTCTTGGGGAAATGTCCCTCTTGCCCAAGGTCTGAGGATATGTTGTTAGTTGTCAGTGTTCTTCCCCATTTTGGGGCCAGATTTCACAGCATTTAGCAGGTTTGCTACATAGTTTGTGGTTTAAAATTGCAGTCATATACTTATTTCATTGGCAACTAAAATATTGTCTCCATTTTTTATTCTTTTTGAGATTTTTGAGGAAGGGAAGAGAGAGAATTAATGTCTACACACCATGATCTTTAACCAAAACTCACTTTGTACTTTTCCAATTGCATTTGGCAAATTTGCATTACAGAGTGCAGGAGAGGGCATAAGTGTCATCCACACACCAGGTTTAAGATTTAGATCTGAATTCTCATGACGTTTATCTACATTTTAATTGCATCCATCACCTTTCTTCTCCATTCCATTTGCTCTGCTTTTCTCTATCTCAAAATCTCTAGAGTCTCTTTTTGTTTTGTTTGCTTGTTTGTTTGTTTGTTTCTTGCCTCCCAGTGTAACCTCAATATCCTCTTTTCCTCCTATGACAGTGGTTTCTTTGTCATCTTTGTGGCAAGAGCTTTCCTGGTCCTTCATCTCCCTAACTTCTCTAAGTTAAGCCCCAAAGTCGCCTGGCCTCACAACTAGTTAGTTGGGACTTCCCTGGTGGTCCAGCCTCCACCCTTCCATTGCAGGGGGCCCGGGTTCGATCCCTGGTCAGGGAACTAGATCCCACATGCCGCAACTAAAGATCCCACGTGCCGCAACTGAAAGATCCTACATGCCATAACTAAGACCCGGCACAGCTAAACAAATAAATAAATATTTTTTAAAAAACCAAATAAACAAAAAAGTAGTGACTTCACCACCATCACCACCTCCACCACAACAATCACACTAATTGTCGCCTCTGCTTATCAAATGTTTACTTTATGCCAGTAATGCTGCTCAAGCTTGTGCATATATTATCCCAGGTAATCCTTCCAATAGCCCAACAAAGTTAATATAATTACCTGAAATTTAAGTGTAGGGATGTGAACAATAACTTTTTTCCAGAATTTCTTTTTTCCATAAACTGTCTCCAGAATTATGCTCAAAGAGGCCACTTGCATTTTTGGCCACTGCATAAATTACAGTCATCACGATATCCCCACTATATCTCTATCTATCTCCTCATCATGTTTTATTTTTCTGAAGAATAGCAGGTATTACTATTAGATGTAATATTAAATATTTAATTTTTAGTTTGGCTCAGCTAATAGGATGTAAGTTTCAGGAGGCCAGAGATTTTTGTCTCTCATTCACCACTGTATCCATGGTGCTTGGTATTGAGTTTAGCATTTAGATGGTGCTCAGTAAAGGTTTGATAAGTGCACTCAATAAGTACATATTTATTGGGTGCCTTCTATATGTAGGGTTGGTCTCTTGTCTGTAGTTTCCAGCTGATCAAATACAACCCAGTCCACCAGTTTCCAAGCTAGCCATGCAGACCACCTATTTTCTTTAGAACTGAGCCAAATTATGCATTATACCTGTTCTCACGAATAACTGCAGCTATTTATTGACTTACTTTGAAAAGAACTTCAAGGAGCTCTGGTGAAGAGCCACCACTACTTCAATCAGGAACTGAATGTCTCAGAAGTGGCTTTTTCCCTGCATGACTATACAGAGCCACTGAGTTGCCATCTAATGGTTCACACATTGGGGGTAAGGAGGCAGCAACACTTGAGTATTTAAGAACAGGGTCTCTAAAAACAGACTGGATTGAATCTCAACTCTGTGAGCTAGGTAATAATAGTGCCTTCTTCACAGGGCAGTTGTGAGAAAAACTTGTCAAGGGCAGTAAGGCAAGGGCAGAGGATCCATGTAGAACACTTGGTGAGCAGACCAGCTAAAGTTAAATCAGCAAACACTTCCTGGAAGAGGGAATTCCTGGCCAGGGTTTTGAAGAAAAATGAAAGCATGACTTGAAGGAGCAGACGGTATCTTGAGGGTCAAGGAAAGGAACTCAGACTGGAAGCGGAAAGCCACAGTAGACTTCAGAAAGGAGCTGTTCCTTAGGTGGAGTGATGTGGGCAGAAATGAGGGGCTGAGCCAGAAGTCAAGGGTTCCTGTCCACACCTGTCAGCTGGGTAAACTCAGGCCAGTTTCATTTTATCTGAATCCATTATCTCATCTGTTAATTGTGATGCTCGTAATCCAAACCTATGGATTTGTGTGAAGTCTAAGTGATTACAAGCAATATTTGTGAAATTGTTTATAAACGGTTGTGGACCAAGAATGTCCCATGCCATATCAGTAAACAAAGGATGCTGCGGCCATCAAGCCATCAGCCACTGCGGCTGCCTTGACTGTGCACCCTAAGGGGCTTCAGGATGAAAAAAACCAAGACACTGGCCCTAGATAGTTATGTAGCATATCAAAGGAATGATTTCAATGAGCCCAGACTCTTACATCTTCCCATACTAGAAAAGTGTTAAATTCATTAACTTGAGATGTCTGTTTTTTCTTTTCAACAGTAATCTGATGTTCAGACCACCTGTTTGTTTGTTTGTTTTAACATCTTTATTGGAGTATAATTGCTTTACAATGGTGTATTAGTTGCTGCTGTATAACAAAGTGAATCAGCTATACATATACATACATCCCCATATCCCCTCCCTCTTGCGTCTCCCTCCCCCCCTCCCTACCTCACCCCTCTAGGTAGACCACCTGTTTTTTGAGCAAAAACTCTTATATATCCCAACTCCTCCCTTACTTCTTCAGAACAGTTTCTCAGAACTACCTGAGAGCTGTCTCTTGGGCTTAAGTCCTCAGTTTGTCCACTGAATAAAACATAATTCTCAACTTTTAGGTTGTGCATTTTTTTTCAGTAGACACTGTAAAGAATTGTCCTAATGCATATGCTGATTTGGTCCGGTAACATGGTAGCACAATAAAGAAAAGAGCTCCAGAGTTGGGTTAGAAAGACCTGGGTTTGAATCCCTGCCCTGCCACCCGCTAACTTTATGCCTTTGGGTGGATTACTTATTCTCTTTGAGCCTTACTGTCCCAGTAAAAGGAGGGTATCTGTCAGGGTAGACTATATCCAAAGAGCCTAGTAAAGCACCTAGCATGCATCCCCATCACTACCGCTGTGGCCCATGTTAGTCTGAGCACTCACCACTTGCCAGGCATCGTTCTAAGAGATACATGTGCATTTAGGTAGGTATTGTTAATCTGAAGCCTAGAGAGGTTAAGTAATTTGCCCAAAGTCACGCAGGTAGGAGTGGTGGAGTCAGGATTAGAATCCAGGCAGTGGAGCTCAGCACACCAGGGTAGTTATTGACGATACATTGTGCAAATCTGCCACTGAAATGGGTCAATTTTTGGAGAGTTCCTTTGTGAAATAACAGGTTTTTGGAAAAACTCATGTTTTCCAAGGAATTTGATAATGGACAAAAGAAATCCTTCAGGAAGCTCTTTAGATCCTTCTTACCTGCTCTTTTAAAAATAGAGTGGATTCTGCTAGAGAATAAGTAATTGATGTCACTTCCAAGAAGAAAGGAAGTTGAATTTACAATGTAAACTAAAGCACCTGCTTCGATATCTGACCTCTTTTCTCATATTTGTAAAACTCCTGGAGACAATCCTGATCAGCTCTGGGATTGTTTGGATCAGTAAGGAATGCCTCTAAGCCCATAGAGAACTAGGGGATGGACTGGAATGAAAACCTTGCTATGCAAGGCAGTACCCTGATTTGCATCAGTTGAAAGGGTGAGACATTGCAGGCAAGCAGTGGCGGCTCTTTCACCCCAAGGAAATCTGCTGTTGCATTCTCTCATCCTCATGTGAGGCCATACATCCACAGGGCAGGAGAAACTCTAGCCCCATGGCTTACACTTCATGCAACTTCCTCTGGAGGAATCATAGGCCTGTTTCTAAATTCTTCATGCCTGCCCTCAGGGCCACAGGTCAGACACCAGTGGGCAGAAGGCACCAGACCATCCTTGCAAAAGACTTCTCCATCATTTGGCCAGGGTATAAAGACTTCTAAAGGGTGCTGACTAAAGAAGATTGACTGACATCTGGCTCTACAAGGATTGAGTCATTAGCCATTGCTGCCATTGACCTTTAACACCCCCTGAAAGGAGGTCAGAGAGGAGATCAGGAGCGAGACACTCTGTGCTCTGAGAGAAATGGCAGAACAGGCCTTCAGATAGTTAGATATTCTCAGGAGAAAATTTTTATGAACTTGGATTCTTGCATCTCCCCATATTTGAAAAAGCACTAAAACCATTAACTGAGATGTCTATTCCTGATGACTGGCAGCAACCTTCTACTGAGGTGTGCTTGGTTGCATGTACCCCCTTTGCCAAAATCACATATATACTGACCTCCCCCTCTTACCTCTTTGGAACAGTTTCTCAGAGCTACTGAGAGGCTGTCTCCCAGGCTACAGTCCTCAGTAAGACCCTGAATAGACTCAACTCACAGCTTTTACGTTGTGCGTTTTTTTTAAGTCAACAAGGGAAAGAGAGACTTCATTTCATTCCAAGTTCTCCCTCTGAGACAATTCTCTCTTATGTAAAATATCAGCAGTAGCCCGCAGACCTTTGTCCATGAGCCCCAACCACACCATCTTCGA